TGATGTTATGAGTCTTCATGAGGAATTAGCAGTCGAGGGACCAATCAACTGCCTGCTAAAATGTCTCTCATACAAGAAATACCCAGCTAAGACTCATCTAGAGCCAAAATCTCTGCCAGGGTGCCATTTTTGCTATAAATTAAGTTCACTTATAGACAAAGGGTACCAAGAGGCGTCCCTAACAGCGGTTCGTCAAAAAATCCTAGACATATACCCATCTATTTTCCAATGCCAGATTTGGGATCTTAAGATGGGAAGGCCTGTGTTGGAACGGACGTTTATTCGGAATGTTCAGTTAGAGCCGTTTACTTACATCTGTCATGTCTCGTATTTTGTGAACAGATGGGCAATGGAAATAGCGTGTTCTAATTTTTCAGTTTGTAACATTGCTATAATAACAGCGATTCGATACCTAGAGGTAAGTTTGGGCCACAGACTTCAGTGGGAACCACCAATAGACTTGAAGCCAGCAGTGATTCCACACCTCAAGGCAGAACGTACCGTAAAAGTGGAGGAGTTACTTGAGGATCTGCTGGAGAGGAACATGGTTCTGAGGTTGACTGAAGAGCTAAGGCGGAAAGTGAACGTTAACCTTGAAACTGTATTGAAACGATTCAAGGAGCTTGAGGCTGCAGGAAACCTCCAGAAACAGAGAGACCTGCAGCAAGAAAAAGAGCCGGAGTGGAAACTAAGAAAGCTAGAGAGTAAATTAATATCACTCATGAAAATGCAGAAAGACCTAAATGCCGAACTAATGCTAATACAGGAAAGACATGTAAGAATAATCGAAAAGGTAAATTTAGAGATGTTGCAAAATATTATTTTAGAAACAAAAATTGAGCTGAAGGAAAAGCGAAGGATGAAGCTTGAGCGGCGGACAAGTGGACTTGAATTAGAGAGCGATTTGAAGGATGAGATAGTTTTCCTACTGCGTTCGAAGAGGGTTTTGAATCTCGATAAGGTGTTTATACGAGAATGTATGGCGCAGCACTTGGAACCAAAGTTAAAGGAAGAGCTGAAGATGTTAACTGAACAAGAGCGCGTGCTGGAGCATGAATTGATTGAGAGAAACCGTGGTCTCGAAATCGATCAACAGGAATTGAGTCTAAAACAAGGGCTGAAGTTGCCAGTTGATCAAGTGCATAAATTGCAGAATAAGTTAGCTTGTTTAGAAGAACTACAACGGATTATGGAGAGACACCGAGGACAGGAGCTCGATCAAGAGGATTCGAATTTGAAAGAGAAGCTGGAGTTCCTACCTGAACGAGAGAGGGG